ACAGAGAGAGGTATATCTTAAGACACAGTGATGTATGATAAAGGAATATGTGAGCATGGAGGCTGCACTCTGGGGTACTGGTAGCTGATGCAGAACCACATGGCATTTACAGCAGTGTCACAGCTCGGGTATCTGGGGGAGTCAGTGCTTGACCGTGACACCCTCTTCCCAAGCGTGGTTGTTCTGGATGTTGTGCAACGCCCTCGAGGTTGGATTTGGTTTGTAAAGCCCGGGAGCTGTGTGCTGCTGCGCTGCTCTGTGCTCCCTCTCCCCCATGTGTCACGTTCCCCATGGGAAGAGAAGGCGGCAGCAGTTACCTGTGCAGGGCTGGAGAAGGGCCACAAGGCCAAGCCCCAGGCTCAGCAGCCAGAGACCTGCTTGGAGATGGGAGATGCTCCTTCCCAGGGCTACTTCAGGGATCTCGTGGTGGCCACCAGGCCACGTGCTCTGCCCCACACCAGGTCCCAGTGGGTCAGGCTGGGATTGCTCTGAGTGCTGATCCCAACAGTGGCTGGGGTGGGAAAGGGGATGCTGCAGGGAGCTCACCCCAGGGACAGTTGTTCCCTTTGGACTTTCTGCCTCTCCTCCTCCAGGCAGAGCTGTGTGTTATGGACAGGGCAGTGACCAGGCTGGACACTGCTGGTGGTAGTGCTGCTGACAGCATTTCCTGGGGTCACAGGGTGCAATGAGCCCCTTGCAGGTCAACCCCATGGACCACGCTGTGGCTGTCCTGGGTGAACGCATCAGAGCATTTCCCATCTCCTGTGATGAAGAGTTCTCTCCTTGTTCGTCACAGAGCAGACCTCAGTGTGTTTCCTATTGCATCTGGGTATGGATATTGGTAGCAGGGAAAAGCTGAGAGCGCTCTGAACTTTGGGAATGACTGATTATGTGCCGGCTGCTTTCCTAGGAGAGCCTGTAATGCCTTGCTTAGGGCCAGCAAGTCCCTTTGCCCTTTAGGAGTACTTGTAATAGCAGGACCAGTGTCCTGCACCCTGCAGCAGCCTATGGGGCTGGCTCCCAGCCCCAAGGATTCAGCATGTTCTCACAGTGCAATCAGTGCTTTACAACTGCAGAAGCAGGAAACAAACCCAGTCAGACTCAAATGACAGTGCAGTGATGCAGGACTCTTTGGATGGCAGCAAGATTTGCTTAAACTGGTGCAAAAGGGGCTGGTGACTACACTGTAGTATTAGTTGGCATGGGGAAGGACTTGGGTCCCTCTGATCTTTTGGCACTGAAGCCATAATCCCTGTCCACAACGATGACACTTACAGCCTGCAGAGACCTTGGGATACCGCTCAGTCCATTTCATCCCCTTTACGTGGAACTTGGCTCATTTTTGACAAGCATTCACTACAGTTTAACAAAACCCCAAATCAAAGCTCTTACAACAGAATCCTTGAGGTGGGCCAACCCCAAATCTGGATCCCTGGCTTCTCTCCCTGCCCCTTCCCTCAGATCCCCAAGGGAGGAGGCTGAAATCATAAACCTGGGTGTGTGGATCCAGATTTGCAAGCTTGAGTCCCCCCTCTCCAAAACAGCGGTGAGATACAGCCAAATCCTGCCCGAACAAGCAGCACCAGCGGTTACTATGTACACCTGTTAGTGAGATAGATACGGTACAGTCAACACGGAGAACATGGACCCCAAAATATTAAGACTTGTATTAAGGTAAAAGCCCGAGTGTGGTTGTGTCTCAGTTACACTCGGACATGGTTGCACTGGAACAGCCTCTTACTGGAGGAAGCACAAGAAAGAGAAAAGGAACCGGAGCTGCTCAGGAACCATTCGGGATGGAGCTTTGCTCCGGAGCTGCAAACACCACTCGGGCTTGCCTCTGGTATTGCTGTGCTCGTGTGCACACACACCCCCCAACACACATACATGTACAGTCCGTAAGTAACAGAAACACAACGTGAAGTGACAGAACTGAGCCTGGAGCTGCAAACCTACCCCAGAACCTGCTCACGAGAGGGTCACGGTTAGGTCCGGTTGTTGATAGGTGCAGGGAAGGAGATGGGGAGGAATGGTAGGGACCTACTGTAAGGAGCCTTTGTCCTGATTGGGATTTCTTTTCATAGGGGCTCGGGGAACTGCGCCGCAGCTCCGGGAGGTGCCGGCACTGGAACTTTCAAGGTTCTAATGACTCGCTGTGGCAGGATTTAAGCATTCCTGCTGGCTCAACAGAACAATGTGTGTGCAGTGCCTGGCACGTCCGAGTTAACCAGGAGTTTGTGACAGATGGGGCGGGGGGAGCAGGGCCTTGGCTTGTGGTTGAGGACATTGAATTGTGCGGTGCTGAGCTCCAGGACTAAACAATTGTTTTGTGGGCGGTTCTTTGTCCCACTGACTGCATCCCAACTTTGCATCCGTGTCTGAATGGAAACGCACCGCCCGCCCCGGGCCCTGCCGGCGTTTCCATTCCTCGTGTTCCTTCTCTCTTGGAAAACTCCCATCTCTGCAACACAAGTATTTGGATCTCAGACCCCATCAGCTCTAAACGTGGGCAACAGTGGCTTAGAACAGTCGCTTTTTTGCAGGGTGGTTACCATGTACTTGAGACAGTGGCAGCTGGAAGTGTACGTACCCAGCGGTTCGCAGTACCCTGTGTGCTCCTAACCTGCCTGGGTCTTTCTCCGGTTGGACCCTTGTCAGTTTGGTGCGGTTCTTCCAGGCCAGCTGCGCTAGTCTCCAAAATTCATCTGTCATTAACACTTATTCCTGCTCTCTGAGGAGCTCCGGCTGGGGTCTGCTGGGACCGCCCCACGCTGCGGGGCTGGCGGCATGCGCAGACCTCAGTGCACCGCGTCCTCTCCTCCATGGCCCGAACCGCACCGGGCTCGGCCCAGGGCTTCCCGGGACCAGAGAAGCGTTTGGGAACAAAAGGCATCATCTTTAGCTGTGAAAACAACTGCATGTGGTGAGTGCTGTGAATGAGCCTGGGGGGCAGCATGGCAATGCAGAGCTTACTGGCAAAGTGTCCTGCTCAGGCAGCCTAGGTGGGGTGAGGCTGGAGACGGTACCTGAGCTGTGCAGAGCTCAGTGAGCATCCTAGTCCCTTTGTACATTTACACATGGCAGGAGGAGCTAGGAGAGGCGTTGAGCAGTGTAATAAACCTTAGTGGGAGGAACAGGCAGAGGTCCTGTACACTGTACACTGTCATCCGTATCTCAGAGAGAGCTCTGGGGCTCTTGGTTACGAGTGACCTGCTCTGAGAGTGGGAGTCATGAAGTGCTACCTTAGAACAACCACAACCCAACAAACACACCGCGGCGGCGCGCTCCCCCGTTAAGGAGGTGACCCCTCCGCTGAGCACAACGGGAATGTGCCGGGATCTGCGTCTCAGCAGCTGGGAAAGTCTAATCCTGGCTTATGCCTGCACAGTGCTCCTGACAAGGGGCCTTTCGGTGGTGGCTGCTGTTCTTGGTGGTTACTCCCTTATGAGCATGTTTTACATTCTTCGAGCCGGTTAATTTCCATGCAGTGCTCATTCCCAATTTAAAGAGGACAGTATTCCAGAAAATGGGATCTTTTTTTTTCTAATGCATACTGTGAAAGAAAAGAAATACAATTACCGATCTTCATGGTTCTTCAGGGCTTTTTTTTTTTTTCTTCTTTGTCTGTTTTTCTCCCCAGAAACAGTAAAAATCTCTGCACAGAGCATTACACCCCCATACGAACCCTCTGGCACACAAGAAGCTGGTGAGCTCACATAGCCCCTCACTCCCCCTCTACCACACTGGGCACAGGAAATCCAGCCCCTGCTCCTCATTCACAGCTCGGGACCAAGCTCAGGCAACATATATTTATTCTGTGGCTAGAAGTGTGTCTGGGCAGGGCAGGATGGCAGCGCCCCGGGGGCTAGCGCTTACATGGGCTCTTCCCCATTACTTGTGTGAGCTGAAGCTGTAGAGAGGCATCAAGTCGCTGTTCAGGTGCCAGCTCCTCCCTCCACTTGCACGCCAGAGCCTTGGGCTTGCTCTGCTCCCCTGGGCTGCCCAGGGACCACCAGCAATGCCCTTCTCACTGCCCTGCAGCACCCCTTTGGCTGCTCCAGCACCCAGCCTGTGCCCTGCCCTCTCATCTGGACTGTGCTCCCTCTCTGCTGGAGTTAATTCAACACTAATCCTCCTGCAGTGCCCCTGTGGCCTCACAAAAGCCATGTAAGGAGGCTGGGCTGGGCTCGGGGCTTGCTTTGGGAGAGGGCTGTGATCCCAGGGGAGTCACAGGAGGAGCGGGTGCTGCATCCCTCGTACAGCTACATCCAGCAGCACCCTCTAACTGGACTTTACTGGGCCCCTGCCTGCTGCAGGCTCTGCCCAGCTCCCTTTGTGTCGCTTACTGCAATGACAAGGATGTTACTCCTTGTGGGGAGGGGTGAGGCGTATCCTTTGGGCAGTTTAGAAGGAAAAAAAGGTAACTTTTGTTTAAACACTGATTGAAATCCAACAGTGACAGCAACGCTCAAATATATGTTATTTCCTTATGCCACTCATCTCACACTCGATCTTTCCGTCCCCTCAATGTGCTGGCATTAGCATCTCCCACAGAGGCTCAGTCAAGCGCCGTCCGCAGTAAGGAGCGGGGTCCTCAGGGGGAGCAGCCGTTCTCTGAAGCTCACGCCTGCTGCTGCACGGTCTCTGTGGCCTCCTCCTGCGGCTCCCTCCGCGGGTTAACAATTACTGCTGTTTCTGAATTCGCCATTCTCTGTAATCTGCAATTTAGTTGGGTTTGTGGGGGAGATCCCATTACGTGTCTGCATGCTGTACCTCTCTTTGAGCTGAGTAAGGGCACTCATTAACCGTGCGTTGGCAGCATCCAGGGAAGCAATGCGTTTCTCCTGCAAGCAAAGGGGCAGAGGGGAAGGGTCAGTGGGAAGGCATGGGGACGTGTCCCTCCGTGGTGCCTCTAGGACCAGGACCTTTCTCTTTGGCAGCCTAAGGGTTTTAGGGGTTTTTAAGTGCTACAGAGCGTTTCTGGAAGTCCCCTGCTTTAGCAGGGACACAAACGGGCTTTGCCCGTGCAATGTGAGCTGAATTCCTGTCAGCATCCTGAGGAAAATGGAGGTAACGCAGTTTAATTTCCTCCGTGATGCAGAAATTCATTGTACTGTTTGCAGCTGCTAAAAGGTGGTAAGATTCCTTTTCTAAACTCAAGCTCTCCCAGGATGGTTTTTCCTTCAGTGTTTAATTGACTTTATTACCATAAATTAATAGTTTGAATGACTTGTGCTGTCCCAGGATGGCTTTGATGGCAACTCCTCCCCATCGCAGTATTGTAAGGATGAGAGCAAGAGCTTCTGTGTTGCAGCCACTCCTGTTCTTTGCCAGTGTCATCATCCTCCTGTCTGCCACTAACAAAAGGGAACAGAACTGACTCAGGAGTAGTGCTTCTGTGTAACTTTGAAGGTCCCTCATGTATGAACATGTCCAACACTGTTGTACAGCCTTAGATGATAAAAAGAGATCTATGCAGGATGTGCAGGGCCCATGGTAAGAGCCTCACATGTAACACAGTGTGGCAGGAGGCAGCACAGCAGGTTGAGAGGTGCTGTTTGCAAGGCTCCCACCTTACAGACCCCCCTGTATGTGCCAGGCTCCAGGGAACGGGAGGATCTGCTGGCTTTGAACATCCTACAGAAAAACAGGGATTCTTGTACCAAAGTTACCACTGCCTCAGCACCTTTTTAATTAGCTGTACGGTGAATTAGTCATGAGCAGTGACGCACAAGTGATTAATAGGGTTGTTAAGAGTAAGCCTAGAATATAGTATCACCTAGCCCCAACCTGGAGGAAGGCCTGCCTGCTGAGAGGATGCCTAAACAAATCAGAGTGTATTTTCAGGTTCTCTTTTCCAAGCCTGCTGTTTGAACCCATCATCTGATGCTCCTCTGCCACTGTACTCCCCAGCAATAACTGAGCTTCCCGATCCTCCAAACCACAACCCAAAGGCTGAATAAACCGCGTTCTCTTTGCTCTGACCAGGCTCTGTGTTCCTTGTGCCCAGGTCCTGTGATCCTTACTGGAACATGAAGCACCAAGCAAAGCTCTGAGGGCCTCAGGACATGATCCTTCCATAAACTGAATTATGGGCACGATCCTTCCACAAAGTGCCACCCCCCTCATCCTCCGTGTCACCTCCCAAGCGCCGCGGTTGGAACCACTGTATGAATGTGACTGCTGTGACAATAAACCAGTAACTCCTGAACCTGGCTCTGTCCCTGGCTGCAGCCTGGTGCTGACTCACCCAGTGCAGTCTCACCATGCCTGAGCTGGCCCTGCTGCAGGGCAGGGGGCTGCACGGTGGCAGAGTCACCCCACAAAGTGCTGCAGCCCCTGGCAGTGGGACTCACCTGTGCATCGATAATCTTCTGCTTGGAATCCACAGCAGCCTGCATTTCTGCATGGTCCTTCTTTAACTCCTCCTCAACTGACATCAGCCTGGTCAAACAGACAAAGAGCATTACACGTGTTGGGCTCTGCTAAGCCCAGGTGTTAGCCTCATAACACACCTGAATCAGCCACCCAGAGTGAATGATACAGATCATGGCCCCATTCAGGCCCTGACACTAAGGAAGTAAAGGGGTGATGTACGTCTCTGAAGCGCACAGGGAGAGGTGGGAACTCTCTCTTGAAGAGGGACTCTTCATCAGGGATTGTGGTGATAGGACGAGGGGCAATGGGTTCAGACTTAAACGGGAGATTTACTTTGGATATAATGAAGAAATTCTTCCCTGTGAAATTGGTGAGGCACTAGAACAGGTTTTCCAAGGAAGCTGTGAATGCTCCATCCCTGGCAGTGGTCAAGGCCAGGCTGGACAGGGCTTGGAGCAACCTGGAGTAGTTGAAGGTCCCCTGGCCCATGGCAGGTCCTTTCCAACCCAAACCACTCCGTGATTCTATGACCTGCAGTTGTGCATTTGAGCATAAAGGAGGCACACAGTCATTGGCACTCACCTTTTACACACAAACCAAGAGTTTAGAGCCAGTCTTTTCTCTGGCTCTTCTCTAGAGCTCTCTGCAGCACTGTCCCAAAGCTTAAGTGATACAGAATGGTGAGGGCTGACCCATGTATGATGGTTCATTACTAGCACTAGGCTGGTTTGGCTCAGGTGAAGGCTGCACTGAACATTCTGTGTCTCGGACAAATGTAAACACCACATCCCACTGGGTGGAAGAGATTTATAGCTAGGAGTAATGGGATGGTGATGAGAGCTTTAGCTAAACACCAGGAAAAGAACATTTTGATCACCACATATATTGCTCATCGGACAGAGGAGCAAAGATGCCAGATCCTCTGGGAACTGGGGCAGGCTGCCAGCAATCCCCTCATGAAGTTTTGCCTTTGTGAATCAGGGAAGTGTCAGGGTTTTCCTTGTCCAGGTAACACTGATGGGTGGGAGGGAACCCAAAGAGTCGGGGCCTTAAACTGCCCCTGGGAGCTGTAACCCAGACAGGCAGGAAGTGGATAAATCGTGGAAGACCCACATGGGAAACCTGCCTGCAGCTCCAAAGAACCCAGACTGTCCTGAGCTCTAATGCCAGCCAGGCTGCCTGCGCTACCATCACCCCCAGCGCTCCCATGTCCCCTGTACCTGCTGATGATGCCCTTCATCTGGATCTCCTTATCCTCCTGCTGCCTTCGGAGCCGCTCCTCGCTCTCCTCCAGCCTCGCCTGGTATTCCAGCATCAGCTTCTGCGTCGTCTCCTCCTGGCATTTGAAGCGGGTCTCATACTCCTCCAGCTTCTTGTTGGAAATGCGCAGCTTGTCCTGCAGCACCACTAGGTCCTGCTGGTACTACAGCACGCAAGGACAGACACAGGAGGAGAAAACACATGTGGCACGTTACGCAGTAGGGCTTTGCCCTTGCCGGGGTTTCCCCATCGCCCCCTCATGCCCCTCTCCTTGCACAGGACTAGCTGCAAACCCGGGCGGGACGGCCCTGCTTGCCGACACCTCCTCTTCCGTCTTCTCCACTGCGCTAGGAGCGGCGCCGCGTCCGCTGGCGGGCGGTCACTGCCAGGTTCAGAGAACGGGACGTTAGCGGGGTCTGGCATTTCACAGGGGACGCAGGTTAGAGCCAGCGAGAGGTGAACGCAGCCGGCACCGTCCGCACTGCGCTGAGCACAGGCAGGAGGAGCTGCACTGGTGGGATTCTGGCTTTACACACGAGCTCTTCATCGCAGCGCTAAACGTGGGTGCTTTGGACATGCTGGAAGCCAAGAATGAGCGATCAGTGCTGCCTGTGCCCTGCCAGGAGCCAGGCTCTGCTCTCTTGGCACAAGGAGTCACCCTTATCAAGGTGAGGGCAACTGAGCGTACTGAGTGGGGCAGTGAACACCACTACCTTTTGGGGCCCAGCATGTTAAACACAATCAGATGTCAAACCAGGATTCAACCCGAGAAGAGCTGCTGCATGAAGCCAAGATCCCACGGTTGTTGTGTTCATTCAGATGAAGCTAAAATCAGCAGCAGAAGAATCACATAAAGCAATTAAAACAGAGAGCGTTTAACTCAGTGGAGCTGGTTCAGCTCCTGCAGAAGTTCAGCGGTCAAAGTTGCTTTGCTAAAGGAAAATTCAGCTGTAAAAAACCCATCCTAACACAAAGACCTTAATTTAAAAAATTAGCTCTGGAAATAGCCCTGAACCCAGCCCCTGAGCTGGCACAACCTCAGGATACTGAACACGCTGCTGCTAGTGGGACAAGCTGCTTTGAGAGTCAGGTATGGGAAAAGACTTCATCTGAGTTATGAAGTCTGTTACAGAGCTCCAAGTGTTATTTGTGAGCTGACAGAAATGCACTTAAGTGTGTCCTGAATTGACCAGCTGAAAACACAGCCTTCCCCTTTGGCCAGTGCCACCTGTGTAAGCACCCAAATGATGGACAGGGTTGGGTCCCGGTGATGGGGAGTCTGCCCAGCCCATGTCAATCCATGTTACTGTCCCGATACCACTCCACTGACAGCAGGGATTGAAAATTTATGATGCTGATGGGCTTCCTGACCTGCCAAAGCACCCGAGCCATGGCTGGCAGATGGGCAGAGATGGGCACAACACATCACTGATCGTCCTTTAGCAAAGCTTTTACTGCGGCACTGGAAGGACACAGTTTGCACACGTAACCTGCAGCGACGAGGGAACACAAATGCCCATACAGTGACACAGAAGCACTAAAGTCAGACAGAAGGGAGCTGCTTGAACAGGAAAGATTAAATACCTACCCTAGCCTTAACATAGGAGCTCAAATGATAGCAGGAGAGGCCTCAGAGACCGAAGGAGTCGCTCCTGTCTCTAGAACAATTGTCTCATTCTCCGTGACCATTCACGTCTTACAGTAATGGGGAGAGAGGTTATGCTAATGGTGATCTTTAATGTCAGTGACTGATGTGACAGCAAAGTAACAAAAGATGCTGCATGGGAATGAGACAGCAGGCTCCTGGGGTGTGGGGGGGACTCGTGCTCAGCTCGGGACAGGGACCGGTTTGCTGCAATGCCCTCGGTGCTCAGCCTGGCACGCACCGTGTCCACAGTGGAGGGACAGGAGGAGGCCAGCACCCGATTCCTAGTGTGTACTCCTTCAGCATTTCACCTCAGCCTGGTTCCAAAGCTTGTCCCTGTCATCCCTATTGCAGACTCAAACCTCTTTCAGAAGCCCTGCAGTGACTAAAAGCAACAACCCAGTGTGTGATGCACCCGTCTGACAACGCCTCCTCTCTGATTTGTGCCTGTGGGTGTCTGTTCTTAGGTGGTAGCTAAGATTTCTCTACCTCTGTTAACAGCCTGCTGCAAGTGTACCTGGGTCAGCTGCTGCCTGATCAGTGCGTGTCTGTATTTACAGGAATACCCAAGGAGCAGAAAGCCAGTGAGAAATGGGCTGAGCTGTCACAGAACTCTGCCATGCTCTCCCTGGGGCAGCTGGAGCTGACAGTCCCTATGGTACCTGCCTTTGGAATATCCCTTAAGTTACCCGGCGGCAGTCCCACAGTGATGCAGCACAGCAGAACGAGAACAGGAAGGGGGTTTAACATGAACAGAAACACGTCTGTGCTGGAAGAGCAGCAAGGAGGTCGAGGGAGGGGATGCCTCAGTTCTGCGGCACCGGGCAGTGACATGCGGCGGACAGAAGGGAAGCACACTGAGGAACATCCCAAATGCCAACAGTGCCCAACTGCAGGTCCCAGCAGTGCCAGGCTGCAAGGAAGCACCTTGCAGAAGCAGCCACCAGCAAAGATGGGATCTTCCCTGTTCCTGACTCCTCCTCCTTCATCCCTGGTCAGGCCTTCTCTGTCCCTTCCCTGCTCATCCCACCCGAGCCTTGTCCCGGAACAGGGACTGTGGGCTCCAACTGAATACTCTGGAACGTCTCAGCCTCTGGCAGAGCCCCAGGCTGTGTGACACAGCCGTGAGCTCGGGGCAGCATCACTGCACCACGGACGTCACCCCAGTGCTGTCTCTGAGACCAGGATCTGCTCACAGTTCCATTTTGACACGGAAACTGCTTCTTGCTACATGTCCCTGTTGTGTCCCTGCTGGGAGGCTGCCTGCACCTCGCTCTCATCTCTTTTATAGCTGTGTTTAACTCACTTTCTAAGCTTTCCTCCCCTGCAGATGGGAGCAGCAATGGGGGAAGTAACAGGCACTGTCTGGCTCCAGAGTCTGTTGCAGAGCAGCACCAGCACTTGATTCCTGGCTCCTGTTTTTCTTACTTGCTTGATCAGAGGCTAATTCCAGTCACTGAGTGTGTGAAAACCTCCCAGACCTTCCCCAGGAGTGCCCTGTGAGGCTGAGCAGGGCAGAGAAGGCCCCGCTCCTGGGCCTGGACCTGCCACACAGCCCACCCTGTCCCCAGGCTGCTCGCATCAAAGACATTCAAGGAAATCCTCTCTCTATTTAGACACTTGTTTCAATCCAATCAGGTTTTACCTTTTCTGCTTGGCTGAGCTCGTCCTTATTCCTGAGCTTATCCCTGTGCTTGGAATCTGGGTCAATGCTTTCATCTTCTAAAAACTGCATGTTCATATTCAAAAGCCAAGCGGCAGTGCGGTCCAGGGCATTGGGGTTCACAGGAGAAGGGGCCTACAATGAAACATACAACCATAACAAAAGAAAAACCTGTAACAGAAATGGTCGTGAAGCTGGAGAGAGAATTTGCTTCCAAGCCCTCTCCCATGCTGCTCCAACAGCATCCAACAACCTGAGCTACCGG